CTCGAGATATAATAAAGAAGAGAAGAAAAGGAAGTTATGGGAAGGATATTAGAACAATTAAAAGGACAGGAAGAGGAAAAGAAAAGAGCGGGTAGCACAGGGAAAGGATAGGTAGGACAGGGAAGGGATTGGTAGGACAGAGAATGGATGGTTAAGACAAGGAAAAAATTGACAGGACAGGGGTAGAAAAAAAGAGTAGGGTGGATAGGACAGGGAAAGAAAGTTTAGTTTCAGAAAATTTTTTTTTATGCATTAATAAAAGAAGGCTTCTAGTATATGTACATGAACATTCGCTAAGTATATTTTATGATTTTTAATGTTTGAGGTGAACAGTGAACATACTAAAACTAATTCTTGATACCCGCCCATGTCACATTATTCAAGGGCAGAATATTTACATAACTTTGTTAACTGTTGATTGTTAATAAATATTATTAATTACAAGGGGAAAAAAAGAAAAAAAATATTTATAAAATTCATTTCTGAAAAGAAATATTCGTTATATTCAAATATTTCTTTATATAAAAGTTGAGCGAACAGTTAGCTTTCTATACAAATCTATGAAATCTACTCACTGACATTTGAAATAATTAATTTCTTGGACTTTTTCTTAAGTACGATATTAATCAAAAGAAAAATTTGCATTAGAGTGATAAGGTTCAGATTTTTCATCTTTAAGGATTTTGTACATTTTCCTCTTTTTTCATGGGTTGATTTCCATAATCTTTAAACTATTTTTTTTTTCCGGTGGATTTTTTTTACTGTCCATAAACCCCTCTCTCTGATTCATGTGATGCCCTGCAAACATTTTCCCTCTAGAGCCGTTCAGCCATTTTGGACTTTTATTGGACACAACATAAGCCTTAATAAGCATTAATTGCATAATAAGAAGAATAAGATGAATAACATGAATAAGAAGAATAAGATAAATAAGAAGAATAAGATGAATAAGAAGACCAAGAAGAAAAAGAACAATAAGAAGAAAAAATTTATAAGATAAATAATAATAAAAAGAAAAATATGAAAGAAGGGGAATATGGAAAAGAAGAATAAGACGAATAAGATGAATAAGAAGAATAAGATGAATAAAAAGACCAAGAAGAAAAAGATGAAAAAGAAGAATAAGATGAATAAGAAGAAAAATTTTAATAAAAAGTAAAATACAAGGAAACAAAAATCAAAAAGATTGAGTAAAAAAGATGAATTAGAATAAGAAGACGAATGAGAAAACAAAGATAAATAAGAAAACAAAGATGAATAAGAAAATGAAGATTATCAAAAGTTGTAAATTAAAAAAGTTCTGAAAACTTTCCGAGCAATTCAATTCTTTCAATTCAGATTTAGAGAGAAAGTCAGGAAACAAAATCTGTTGTAAATCTTACATAAAGAAAAGAATTAAAACTTTCTTTTTTGTATATCAGGGGGCAGGGGAGGGGGGGGGTGAACTTTTGTAAAAATGGAAATGAAAATCATGTGTCGGTTTATCAAAAGTCAAATTTACTTAGGGGGAAAAAATGAAAAAAAATATGCGAATTTTCCATTTGTTTTTCTTTGTTTGTTACATTTTAAGTATGTATTATTAATGTTGATTGAGGTAACTATTTAAAATATTTTGAAGTATCACGAATGTTTATTAAAAATGAAGTTCAGTCTGATATCTAGGTTTAAAGCCAAAATATTAATGATATAAGACATGATTCAGCTGAAAGATATTTATATATATATTTATATATAAACAAAAGAACATACAGGCAACTATAAAGACTGTATCAAACTAAATACTTTTCTTTATACTTTCATGTTTTGATGTTGTGTTCAGCTGAAACCTTAAAACGTATGCTTTGTTTGAAATTGAACAAACAAAAATACAATTTTTTTTCGTAATTTAGATAATTTACTCAAAATACTGAAAAATCGATAAAAATTTTGTCTTCTTTTTTTAAAAAGAAAAAACTGTACAAGGGTGTCTAAAAACTAGACTTTTTGTAAATTTTTTGTAATTCACAATATCTAAAGCATGATATCATATTCTAGTGTTGATTCAGAACCCCTGCTTTATCCCCGTATTTTCAAAACAAATTTAATTTGTTGAATAAAAAAGATAAGGAGGAAAACATTGTAGTATTTAAGCTTGGTCTGGTTAAAAGAGTATTTATATTAAGGATAAGTTTTATCTTTTTTTCATCGCATCCGATATTTGTTCGTATTTAAAACGATTGAACCAAACGGGTCCGAATTTTTTTGTGGTAACTCAAGTGAAAGGAAGTTTATGGCTGGACTAAACTTAAATAGATTCCTTTCAAAAATAATTCGATTTCGTAATTACAAAAAAGGACAGGCTTCCAGCTAAATTAGAAATGTAGAAAAGCAGGAAAAAAATCAAGAAAATGAAATTTTAGGATTTGGACTTTTTTTTATTAACCAACATCAATTTACCATTTTCCTCTGTTTTTGTCCTGTAAATTTTGGTTTTAATTTTCTAGTTGCACCCCCTGACTCCCCCTATTCAATACTCCATGGTTAACTCTGAGACTCAGCGAGTACTGTTTATGAATGAGTTGGGTAGAGCAAGTTAGAGTAGGTTGAAGCATACATGAATATCAATTTAGTTCCATTAGTTTCTAATTTGTTTTCATGTTCATGCTCATGTTAGATTTCATGTTCATGTTTCAAATATGTCAGTAGCACAGCAGTATATGTAGTAGCAACACTTACTCTTCTACATTAGTATCAGAGCAGTATATGTAGCAGCTACCCTTACTCTTCTACATTAGTAGCAGAGCAGTTTATGTATCAGCTACCCTTACTTTTCTACGTTAGTAGCAGAGCAGTATATGTAGCAGCTACCCTTACTTTTCTACGTTAGTAGCAGATCTGTATATGTAGTAGCTACTCTTACACTTTTACATTAGTATCAGAGCAGTTCATGTAGTAGCTACCCTTACTCTTCTACGTTAGTAGCAGGGCTGTATATGTAGTAGCTACCCTTACACTTCTACATTAGAAGCAGATCAGTATATGTAGTAGCTACCCCTACTCTTCTACATTAGAAGCATATCAGTATATGTAGTAGCTACCCTTACACTTCTACATTAGAAGCAGAGCTGTATATGTAGTAGCTACCCTTACTCTTCTACATTAGAAGCAGATCCGTATATGTAGTAGCTACCCTTACTCTTCTACATTAGAAGCAGATCAGTATATGTAGTAGCTACCCTTACTCTTCTACATTAGAAGCAGATCAGTATATGTAGTAGCTACCCTTACTCTTCTACATTAGAAGCAGATCAGTATATGTAGTAGCTACCCTTACTCTTCTACATTAGAAGCAGATCAGTATATGTAGTAGCTACCCTTACTCTTCTACATTAGAAGCAGATCAGTATATGTAGTAGCTACCCTTACTCTTCTACATTAGAAGCANTAGTCTACCTAGTCTACCTAGTCTACCTAGTCTACCTAGTCTACCTAGTCTACCTAGTCTACCAAACTACTTGTCTACATAAATTTGTATTAATATTCAATAGTTTTTGCTTTCTTGATAAATGATCAATGTTTATGATAAATTGTCTGTTTACGAGATGGTTTGTCTGTTTGTTTAGTTTTTGTGCCTACTGCTTTAAATACTTGCATGTTTATTTTTAATTAAGCTTTTAGATGAGGGTTGTTGATATATCGGCTTGAAAATGACCTGAATACATCTTACTCTCATTCATGAACAAGATAGATGTTTGGTTTCATTCGTTAAAATATATATGTGTCTACGTAACCATCTTCACATCCTGCATCTCTGTATCTTTACGTCCGTGTATCCGTGTATCTCTGTCTTTGTATTCTCTGTACCCATATCTCTAGCTCTGAATTTGTATATCTGTTTCCCTGTATCGATGGATCCCCGTATCCCTTGATCTTTATATCTGTTATTATTTCATCTCTGTATCCCTGTATCCCTGTTTCTCTGTATCCTTGTATCTCTGTATCCCTGTATCTTGTATCCCTAAAGGAATTGTGTTCTGGAGGTTTTTGATTCTCCAGGTACCCAGGGGGATAGGGAGATATTTACACAATGCTGAGAGAAGGACCCAGAGAGAAGATTTGAAGTTGGAAGATATATGTCTGTTTATCTTTCTGTCTGTCTGTCATCTACAATTTACATTTTCAATTTGCCCATACCCTTATTATTCTAAACAGTAACCGTTCCATTCCGTTTTCCATTATAATAATATAATTCTAACATTTAAAATTCTGAATAATAGCTATTAAATTTTATTTTTCGATGAATGAAAAGTATGAAGCATGAAAAAACGCCATTGCATGCTGAGATCTAATAAAAATTTTAAATTCCAAGCTGGTTCTTTAAAAGGATAAATTTTCTGGCGTTTATAAGGGGAGTTTGACCATAAATTGATGATGACACAGTATTGTTCAAGAATTCATGCATCTGGTTTATTTCATTATACATAATGGGATATAATTGAAGGCCGGAAGGGTTAAGAGGGGGGGGGGAGAGGGGGGCTATTAATCGGAGGAGACTATAGATAAAGGAGAAGGGTGAAAGTCAACGAATCAGAATGTTAGAAAGAAAGAAAAGGTAGAAAATTAAAGAACAGCCGTTGAGAAATATAAATTTTCTAAAGTAAAGATAAAAAATGTTTTCTGTGAAAGAAAGATAAGATATTTTCATATCTTTGTTGAACTTAATCATGAACAAACATCAGCTTGAATTAAATGTTAATAATATATGATTTCAAAAAGTTCTTATCTTTTCATTTTGTTCCAAGTTTTAAACTTTTCTTTAAAATCTACAATATCTATAATAATACTATTATGAATTATAAAATACACGGGAATCAGAGGCGTAGTCAGGGGGGGTATGTGCAGGGGCTGAGCCCCTCCCTGGACTAGTGAAATCTATTGATTTTAGGGGGTTTTCAGGCCCTTAAAAGGTGCTGAGCCCCCCCCCCTGGAAAGAAAAGAAATTTAAGCGCCACCCCGGACAAATTCCTGATTATACGCCCCTGAAAGAAATTAAGTGGAAATAATGTTTTTCGAATTTTTGGATTTTTTTTTCAGCAAACTAAGACAGTTGAAGACATTATGAAAGCAGAAAAAGAAGACAACAAGATGAAAAATGGCGGATATTCAAAAGATTCTCCCGATGAAAAAGATGAGAAAATTCCGCAATCTCCCGAGTTGACTGATCTACCCGAAGCACCTGAAATGCCAAGCTTGCCTCAACCTGTAGAAATAAATGTACTAAATCCAAGTCCTTCGGCACCTTATCCTTCGCCTCCTAGTCCTCCACGATCCAGGGCTTCCAGTGCAAGCTCAGCTGCTGAACACGAGTTGAAGACGATGAAACAAGAAAAAAATAGAAATGCCGCGGAATCTTCCGATTCGGAATCTGACAAAGACGACAAGAATGTGTTAGCAGTATCTAAGGTTTGAAAACAGCGAGATAAAGCATAGATTGGGAAAATACAGCAAAATTCTTGAACATTTTAATGATAGATTTTTTTTGCATTCAATATCATTATTATCATTTAAAATCTCTTTTAAAAAAAACTGCTAATATCAGAAGAAAAATATGCCGAGTGCCATTGAATTATTTTTAGCATTTTATATTAAATCCCTTTCTATTCTAGCGGACTTTATTACCTAGTGAATTTCGTTGTATTTAAATTTTGTAGCATAACATAGGGAAAATTATTTGTAGTTAGATAATAACAAAAATACTTAAATAAAAAGGAAAGTTAATAATATAATATACCTGACGTACTAATGATTTAACCAGATGGTCTGATCTTAGTAATTAGTGTCAAACTTAAAATCATTCCTATAATTCATAGATATTTGTTCATCCACACTTTCAGTAATTACTTGCATAATGCTTACATTTGAAGGCAAACATATAAAATTTGTTTCATGTATTCCTCTGTATCTTTTTCTTGGTTAGCTAAACAGCGTTTTATTGTGGTTGTATGAGTAGTATAGACAACACATTAATAATAGTATTATTTGGTTGGAATTTATAACTAATCAGTAAATAGTTTAATTACATTAATTAACAGTTTATAGAACATGTAAATAAATTAGTTTAATTTCATATATTACATTAATTAACAGTTTAAAGCTTTACAGCTTAAAATGTCTACTGGGTGTCCCTAAAATGTATTAAGTGTCCAATACCGAGTAAAACCTTTTAAAACCCATAAATACTTTGAAGCAAAAATCAAACTCTGATTTTCATATCCCTTTATCTTTGCAACCCAGTGTCGTGACCCAAAATATTTCAAACTATGAATTCTGTTAGATCAAATAACTTTAGTTTGAAATGTCAAAGGTTTGCACCATCAGGTTGAAAAGATAAAGGGGTTAGAAAAACTCAATTCCTTTAGGACAGTCAACAAGTCCAGTTTCCTAAACTTTTAAAAAATAAATACATTATATATGCACAATGTGTACACATTGTGCATAGATCAAGAAAGAAATATTCAACGAAAAAAGGAATAAAATTAAAAATGCTCTCTATGAATATTGTGTGTTAATTGACAACCTTATGCAGAATTAAAATGTCCGAAAACAACAAAAAATGACTGATGAATACTTAATTCTGTACACTGGATTCAATTCATTACGTAAATTTTTGCATTCGAAAGCTTTTGTTGATGAATTTAAATTTAACTGAAATCAATGATTCGACGTTTTTTTAAACTCTCTTGTGTCATTCTCCAACGTAATACTGTCCAGATAGATGGATAGATAAATAGATAGATGGATAGATAAATAGATAGATGGATAGATAAATAGATAGATGGATAGATAAATAGATAGATGGATAGAAAAATAGATAGATGGATAGATAAATAGATAGATGGATGGATGACGGGGCGTATACAGGATTTATTCTTGAAGTGAAAGGGAGGAAGAAAAACTGTTAAACATGTGGCCGTAAGATTCAAGGGGATTCAGAATTTTGTTTTGGTTTTCTTTTAAGTACCCATGGATGGAAAAATTAGATTTCTAGAAGAAGAAGGGGGGATGTCTCATTACCATGGCCCCTCCCCCATTGCATACGCTCTCATGCAATGGTGGGATGATTTAGTAATGAATGAATGAATTGATGAACTGCAGCTTCTGAAAAAGATGCTCGGATGAACAATTTACAGATGACTAAGTGATTTTTTTGTACCGGATGACTAGAAGATTTAATGACTATATAAAACGTATTCATAATTCACAATTTACGTTAAGAAACATGAGCAAGTAAAAGAAATAAGGGAATAAATATTTTTGAAAGATCCATTTTAGTAAATGTATGTAGTTTACAGTTTAACCATATGTAGATTGTAAACAGACACCTTTATTATCAAATTTTACAGTTGTTGCAGCTAGATAATAAAACATGCAAACTGGCGTATACATGAACATAGAGCACACAAGAGATATGCAGGATACAACGCAAATTATGCGTAAATGCCGCAACAATGTTTTCTTTGAAGTGTTTAGCATCCCGCATGCAATTGTCAACAAATTGCAGGATGTATGTTCTAAGTAAGATTGTAAAGACGCCTTTTACGCCAAAAAAAGAGTTTATTTTTTATCCTAAACAGCGTACAATTGTAACACACACAAGCATATACAAAATTTTAAAATGCGCCAATTTGGTAGAAACAGGGTCGGGGGCACACCGCATAACGAAGGGCACACAAAAGGGAGGGGTGATATCCCCCCCCCCACCTTGAAGTGTAATGTAATTAAAGTATTTATTACTTATTCAAATATGTCTATGTATAATATTTATCGAAATGCTTCTTTTTAAAACATGGTTGTTGAAATAATATGGAATGAAATAAATATGGTCCCAGGATGGTTTCTGAATCCATGGAAACACTAAAACCCCTAACTTTCACATGAAATTCAGCTTGCACAGTTTTTCCAGCTGTTGCGATGAAAAATCTAATTTTGATTTATTTTATTATCTTTTGTCAAGATGTCTCTTACTTCTACTGCTATTTTTTTAATAATATCATGGGTGTAGTCAGGAATTTGTCCAAGGGGGGCCTAGCCCCCAAAGCCCTCCCCCTCACTACGCCTCTGAACAATATCTTTAAGTTAGACGTCACATAATTTCTTTACAACGTTTTTTATCTTTTAATGGAGTCTAAAACAACATTATTGTTACGTTTGATTTTAGTTAAATATTTGGCAAAGTTACTCTACTTGCATATTTTTGCTGTTTTTTAAAGAACCATGTGACAGAGATAGATTTAATACCATCTTTATCATTAGTCGCAAACACTCTCTTTAAGAAGACACATTTCCCGCATTAGACTTAACAATAAGCAATAAACAGTCCTGGAAACCATATTGTGGGAAAAGTTTCAAAATTAAGAAACTGCAGTTTTGCATTTTTCAATGTGGACGTGGGACGGTGGGACACAGTAAAATAAATGATTGAAAAAATGTTCAGGATAATATCGTTTGTCTTCTGTTTTCCATGGGTATATATTATATAGTATATGGATAGTTAGAACATATGAATAATACAATCGTCGTCGTAAATATCAATACAATAAAGACGAATTTCTATTTCAATTTTGATTTATACCAAGCTTTCAAACAGCAGAAACACTTAAACATTTAAACAAAGAGAAGTTGGCAATTAATAGCTTTTCTTTATTTATTTGTAAACTTGTAATTTAAAAATACTTGTTAGAAATCGAAACATAAATGTGTCTTCATTGTATTGATATAATCGCTGACAATTGTAACAATGTTACATTTTCCTGTAAGCTGTGCTGCATTTCAAGATAAGAAAGAAATTTTACATAAAATAACTATTTCTGCCCAATACAGCATTATATTTTTTTACTTTGATAAACGCCCCCGCTTGACGAAAAATTATTTGTTAAAATTTTTTTAAATTAAACCTTATTTTGTAATATTTCTGAGCTTTTTAAAATATTTATTTTCTGCGAATTTTAGGGGCCAAACAGTGTATCCAGTGGGTCCCCCAGGAGCACCCCCAGTCCTCAAGGGTCAGGCAAATGGACAGGAAGAGAGGGCGGCCTAGATCTACCAATGACAGCAAGGTATGATAAAAATAGCGATCTACACAATTATGAAAATTATGCATAAACTTTTGGAATCAGGCCGAATTTAAAGTGTTGCCAGGCCACAGCATTTTACTTATACTTTTTAACTTTTAGCCTTTGACATGAAGATTTCAAAGCTGAAGAATTTTTCTATTTTCAGTTTTATTTTTTAATGTGCATAGTGAAAATCATAAAACTAGGGAATAGGAAGACGACATGAAAGTACTTGTTTTTACAAAACTAATAGTTTTACAAGTCACTTCTTGAATCAACTTTTTTCAGTAAAATGGGTTTATTTACACTGCGCAATTTCTCATATTTATTAAACTATTTAAAATCATAACTTGAGCCTAAAAGTCGTCTTCCTATTCTCGAGTTTTCTAGTTCTCAATGAACATACTTATCAGGGAAATGAGGGAGAGGATTGCAAGTATGAAGAAGAAGGATAAAAGGGTTGAGGAGAGAATGGATTTCAAGAAGAAATACGAAATTATCAAAACTTTGTAAGCCCGTTCATTAGCAAATTTAATAGCTGATTAACTTATACAATAGCAGGCTAAACTGATAGATCAGCGGATAAAATTGTATATTAAATTGGCTTATTTTATTTCAAATAGTTGAATAACTGACAAGATGACTGATTAATCTGATAGAACAGCTGCTTGGCTCTCAAAATAGCTGATCAGCTCTTAAAAAAGCCTATAAGCCCTTAAAACAGTTGATTAGCCCTTTGAACAACTGATCAGCTCGTAAAAAGGCTGATCAACTCTTAAAACAGCTGATCAACTCTTACAGCAGCTAAACAAAATCTTAACAACAGCCAATAGCTAGAAACATCTTAAAACAGCTAAAAATATCTTTGAACAGCTTAAAAATATTAAAACCGCTAACCAGCTCTTAAAATATAGCCGATCGTTAATCAGCAAACGATTCAGCTAGAAACCCCGAATTCTACAAATGGCCAGTTTATTAATTCATAATATAGTCTTCAATGCTTAATATTATATCAAAAAATAATTTTGCGAAAGGGAAATATTTTGGGGTTTAAAAAACAAAATATGAAATGATTATAATTTAAGGTTAGCATTGACATGGGAAAAATCAGATGAGAACATGAAAATAATTTTTATAACCTTTGACAGGATATTTCCGTTTTTAATGCAAACATTTGATAAACTAACTTTAAATATTTATCATCCAAATTTTTTATTACAAAGATTTCGGGGCTAAAGTTTTTTATTGTAATTTAGAGATCCATAGAATTTCTATTTTTATATCTACTTAATTATTATAATATATGTAATTAAAATACCTAAATATTGTAAACCGTATTTTATCTAGTCTTGAGGATTGATTACAAGTAAAACCTTGAGAATTGATTACAATTAAAACCTTGAGAATTGATTACAATTAAAACCTTGAGAATTGATTACAATTAAAAACATGTATTTCGAATTGTTGCGTCCAAAATGTGCACAATCTTTAATCATGATTGTAAAATTATTCAAAATGTGTTTTTAGAAAATAGATGTGAACATTTTTTAACTCAATGCCTGTCATAATTTTAAGTCATTTCGCGAGCTTTTTAATATTTATTAAAAAAAAAATAACTAGAGGAAGTCTAAATTTAACGAAAATGTGATTTTCATTTTCCAGACGACTTAACTCATTCTTCCAGAGGAGAAATAAAAACCCCAGTCCTTTTGAGAGATATTTTTTCATCACCATGTAATGAACTTAATTTTGTAATTATGTACGATATAATTATGTACAAAGAGTGTCCTTAATGATTAACGTAAATACATATTTTTAATAAATTTAGAAAAGAACTACAGTGATTATTCAAATTTTCTTATCAAAGCAAATGTTAATTGAAAAGTAAACTAAGAGATATTGTTTTTATTTTTTAAAATTTTTATTTCTATAGTTTTTTACTTTGAAATTGTGAACATCAAATGCGGAAAAGTTATATAAATCTGTGTCTGGATTTTCAATAAATTTTTTAAAGACAAGTTTGAATTTTCAGACATTTTTGATGACTGTAGGTTGAGAAAAAGAGGTATCAAATATCTACTGTTAAATCAATGTATCTTACTTTGGAGAAAATCTAATTTTTGATTCACGCACAACTGGTGTACATTTGACTATCCGAGCTGGGCCAACCTTTGCGGTCCTAGTTTGGACTGTACCGCCAATTTACAATTACTAAAGCGGCAGACATGTGTGGATTACGTCTAACTGAAACGAATTAAATGTCTTGACAGAAGGAGAATGCAAAATTTAACTATTAACTATATACGAATGCGTCGAAAAATTATCGATGATTATTGGTTGTAATATCTGAATGATTTGTTTGGAATTAAATTGATTTTTTTACGATCCGAGTTGAATGTTGCAACTTCTGAATTTCTGAACATGGTCGAAGGTTTTAAGGGTACCATTGTAAATCGGGCATTGCGCCATCTCTGCATAGAGGGTCCCTTGAAATTCCGCGTGCAGTAAATATATATATATATATATATATATATATATATATATAACATAGTCCGAATAACTTAAGGTTTTAAAGATATTTCAGGGTTATATTAATGCAATTACTCCAATGTACCTTTCATGTCTAAAAACAAGTTGAATTTTTCGCTCCAGATCTACTTTCATTGAAATATTTAAAGATTTTTTTTCCAAGTCAACTGAAGAAAGGCCCGCAATGGCAAGTATAAACTTTAATGATAAGAATGTAATGTAAGTAGGTATGCAGAATGTAATATATAATGTATATATATATATATTGGAAGTAGGTATGCAGAATGTAAAATGCATTTAACACATGCTGATATACAGTGAGAACCAGAAAAACTGTGGAATATCAAGGCACAGTATACACCGGGTCCTTTTTCTTTTCTTCTATGAGGTTACCAGCGATTTCAGCCCATCAAATTGGAATTTTTTTTTGCGTCCTCAATTTGTTTTTTAAGTCTGACTGACCCCTGAAAATCAAAAAAATAATATTGCAGTTTCTGATAATAAAATATTGGTTTTCATTAAAAGTAAAAGAAATGTTGTGCAAAATCCTTTTCAAACTTCAAGTGCAAAAAATTAAATACACTTTCTTTCTTCATGTACAAGACGTCATCAGGCCTGATGATTCAGGTCATAGAGGTGTTAATACTTTCATTTCAGGTCAAAGAGTCATAGTAAAAACACATTTTGAGGAAATTATTAAAATTCCAAAAAGTTTCCCCTTCTCTCTTCCTTGCATATATTATCACACCTACAAGTAAGATCTTATTTGCACTTGAATAAACTGTATTAAAGGGACTGTAAAGGAAAAATGAAAGGGGGTATATTATCTCAGGTTTTGAACGATACCTACAAGACATCTATCTTTTGATCCTGTCTCGAGAAATTGACATAAAACTGTATCAAAATTATACCAAAACCGGTATATGCCAGATTTTGTATAAAAGTTGTAGTTTTAAACAGATCATATTCAACAATTACGCAACCAATCTGAAAACAATTATCCACAGGAGCCTGAGAATCTCAGGTTTGCTAATATTATAGTTTTTTTATTTTATATTTTTCATTTTTAATAGATATAATCATAGAGAATAGAATATATAGAGAGGAATTAAAAGTAGAGTACATTAATACAGTATGTTCCCTAAACTATTCATTTCAATTTCGAATTTTTTAAACTGTTAAATAAACTTTATAATGAATTAGGTGAATAAAAACATCATTTGATTTATAGTTATAACGGAAAAACTTCGTTTGTAAAGTGAAAGGCATAGAGTCTGTTTGAAATGATAATTGGTCAAATAATTTTAGATTTTCTATAAAATGATATTCTAGGGCCCAACAGGTTATATAGCATAAATATGTGAAGTACACCTGCAGTATGGAAACAGTACAACAAAATGGCCGTTTTACACTTTTTTCCAGTAAATTCCTCTCTATATATTCTATTCTCTATGGATATAATAGATATACAAGAATATTGATCGCTAATGCAGACTGTAATACTGAAAATTGTACAACCCCTTGTACATCATGAACTTGACATTTGAAAAGGTGATTGAATACGTTTTACTTCTCGGGGTCAATCTGTAGAGTATTTTTTTACTAATTTATTTAAAGAAGTTTAATAAAACCTAGGTTTCTCCCATTAACTCTTTACTAAAAGGTAATCATACCGAGATTTTCACTGCTTGCATCTGAACAGTCCACATGTTGACACATATAGAATTCGCCAAAGTAACACCATCATCCCAAGAGATTTAATAGTTTGAAAAGTCTTCCAACTTTAATGTGTTCTTTGTATGTAAGGGGAGTCTGATTGCCATCATTATTACTCACATATCGTTAGCAAGCAGCAACTTATCTTCGTTCTAAGGCCTTTGAAATTCAACTTTCTTCGGCTAGTATGTCTGCAATATTTGTAAACAAGCCCTCATAAATGTGTACAGAGTACAAATATACTTGCCGCAAACTGTATGTCAGTAGCTAGTACCATATGCTAAATTGCCATTTTCAATTTCAACTGTAACCCTCCGTTATAGTGAAGACGACATATATTCTCGTATCTCTATGGGCGTCGGGCGTAGCTTGGCGGAGGGGGGGATAGATAAAACTCCTAAGAATGCGCGAATACCGGATAATGTTTCTTTAATTCTCTCTCTCTATGACAGCTTGCCCTGACAGCTTGCTTCTATAGATAGTACAGGTTAAGGATGGTTACTATGAATCTGATACAATAAAGGTTGATTTTAATTTGATACGAATGTTAATGATTTATATTATGACTGTGAGACAGGTTGGATTTTTGATACAAGATAAACAATCAAATCCAACCTATATCAAATTCATAACATTCGTATTCATCCTTTACAATAGTTTCCAGATCAGATAACAATCAATCCCAACCTATATTAAATTCATATAGAATAATAGAAGCAAGCTGTCATAGAGAGAGAGTTAAAGAAATATTATCTGGTATTCGCGCATTCTTAGGATTTTTATCTATCCCCCCCTCGTGCAAGCTACGCCCGACGCCATACAGGGTGTCTCGCGAAACAATGACAGTTGGTGAATAGCTAAGAATGTCATTTTCCAATGGTTAAGTTGTTTGATACCAAAAATCAATAAAAATATTATATGGGAGTCATATCAAAACTGATTCGACAAATAAAATATAATTAAGCAAAAGATTTGTTTAACTAAAAATAGCTATTTATTAAATGTCATGTTTCGTGGGACACCCTGTACCTTATAAGTCTCTGTAGCGCTTCTATCTGCTTTCAAAATCATTTCATTCAAATCCATTCCCAATCCCAACATACAGCCGGTACCTACAGACGACTTAAAGTTTTGTGGAAAACTTATCTCGGAATTCATTTGAGACATATGGAAAGCACAAGAAAGGCAGACCACATTTTGGAAATGGCAGGACAAGGGAAATTTTGTGATTATTATCTCTAGAAATTTACTTCTAAAATTAGGTTGACAAATGAACGCAACAAATTATATCAAAAATCAAGACGACATTCAAGTCGTCCTGCATACTGTCATGTTTCGTGGGACACCCTGTATTAAACTTTTTAAAGATCTGTATAAATCCTGAGTTTGAGTTTGGGGGTGGATACGTTTTTAGAATTAGTTTTTTAAAATTGTTAAATAATGACGACATTAGATTCTATTTTCTCATTATTCACAAAGATTTCTGCAGAGAGGACTGGTTTCAATCACGCAGAGCAAATAGGTTGTCAAGTACAATAGATGGCAACACAGAATGCGTACACTTTCATTACAGCTGATTAAACGTCATAAGTGTCAACACGAATTTTCTGTCTGACAAAACTATAAATAAAAGTGATATTGTTAGACTAAAGTGNAGAGAAAAAAATTAAGCCACCAAACGAGTGAAAAAATACTCTATCTAATTTTGAGTTGTATTTATTTTTTACGTATTCCTACAAAGACGACATTTATCTCCACCAAATCTTGGAAATCCTACCAACTAATTAGAGGACATGTCGTCTTTCTTTTTTCATTTGCCACATATGACGTTGTGCGCAGTTGGTCGATTTTTGTGTTGCCATCTATTGTACTTGTCAACCTATTTGCTTAAAACAGTTTTCTTAATCGATTCAGTACGAAGACGACAAAAAGAACAACTTGCGGTATTACGCGCATGTAAATAAACACGTAAAGTAAACCTCGATTCAAATGATATTGGAACGTATTCAGTTTTCACGTATTTGATCGTATATATCTTACGGACGAAAACAAGCCAGTTTTCGGTGAATCTGCATTTGAACAACGCCGTTTGAACTATTGATCGTTTGAACTATTGTTCATTCGGTAATTTCCTTGAGAACGAGTTTTGGACCCCCTTTTATCAATTTTGTACATGGTTATCATTGGTCTTGTGGCCACATCGCCCGGCCCTCTAGCCTGTCCTATAGCCGCGGCGCTTGGCCCCTTGTCCTAGCCGCAGCGCTCGGCCCCTTAGCCTGTCCTAGCCGCAGCGCTCGGGCCAGAAATTGTCTTAACCGAACCTAACCCTAAAATAATAAAAAATAAATAAAAATAATTTTGATGAAAGCATGTATAAAAGTGATACGAGGGGGGGGGTCCAAAAATCGTTCACAGGACTGAAATGTTCATTTTAACCACTGATAATGGCGTCATTTCCTGTAGTTCAAACAACACATTATTTACTCATTTGAACTATTAAAAATGCATTTAAAATTTTTATATTTCATGAAAAAATATTATATGGTTTGTAAAATAATCGGCATCGCAAAGTATATTTACATGACCAAAAAAAATTTCACATCATGGACATAATATGATTCAAATGACCAAAAAAAATAGTTCAAATGAAGCATTTAATAGTTCAAATAAAAAAGTAGTTCAAATGAGCAAAAAAATCAAGTTCAAATTAACCAAATGAGAAAAAGATTAGTTCAAATGAACCAAAAAGATAGTTAGCAAAAAAATAGATCAAATTAGCGAAAAAGTAGTTCAAATAAGCAAAAAGATATAGTTCAAATGAGCAAAAAAAAGTTCCAGTGAGTAAAAAAAATCTAATGAATCAATAAAAGTTAAAATCATGCTGCAACTATTTTTTAAATGTTCATTTTATCTATTTTTTTGCTCATTTGAACTGTTATTTCGCTAATTTGAAATATTTTTGCCTCATTTGAACGATTTTTTGGCTCATTTGAACTATGGCTAGGGGGCCGAAGGCTATGGATAGGCTAGGGGGCCAAGTGCTGCAGCTAGGACAGGCTAGGGAGCCGGGAGCTGCAGCCACATGACCGAAAATATCAATTTGTGATAAACATTTATGAGATCCATGCAAAAAAATTGATGGGGGGGGGGGTTCAAAAATTGTATACTAGGAATCACCGAACTAATTATTGGTTCATTTGAAATTTTACCTAACCTTATTTGCTCATTTTTTTTCTTATTTGAACTATTTGTTTGCTCATTTGAACTATTTTTTGGCTCATTTGAAATATTTTTTGGCTCATTTGAACTATTTATTTGCTCAATTGAACTATATTTTAGGTCTTTTGAACTGTTCCCACATAACCAACTGACGTCAACAAGGCGTCAGGGCGATGTCGTCTTAGAACGGGCCAACGTCCTGACCACGTCAATCTTAAGTCGATTCAAAGTTGTTTAGACGTCGCCGCAACGTAAAGTGCAACCATTTTTGACCTCCTCACAATTTCCCCAAAATATGGTATGAAAATAAACAACACTTTTCTAAGCTTTCAAATATCAATCTTATTTCGAATTTTAAACAGAATTTAACAGAAGATTTTTATCAGCAGAACAAATGTTTTAATTCTAACACATGCTATGTTTGCAAAAGAATTGAAGAAACCAAAGACAATTTTACAAAGAAAAGAATAAAAAAATTACACGAACAATAGTTTACACGAACAATAGTTTACACGAACATAGTTTACATGAACAATAGTTCAAATGAACAATAGTTCAAACGAACAAAAGTTCAAATGAACAATAGTTCAAACGGGAGTAGTTCAAATGAGAATCAACCCAAACCAACCGCGTCCGTACAGACTACAGAATCTCTTCTGTAGTCTGATATACTGACTGATTATAAGATGAGTCATAAACTAGCTCTGTGGGGTTTCATTCAGACCAGTTGGCAGTCTCACTCTCCTCATGAACACTAGTATACATACTATAGACAGGCAACTTGAAAACATCTGTATTTAAGACGTCTGCTTAAAGAGCGTATAGAAATAAACATTTATCAATCAATTGAAAATATCTTCTATTAGTTGTTTTAGAGACGTAGTTATTATTGCAGATATATCGTTATAAATATGCAGTTTCCAAGCTCGGAGCCAAGAGTTTTAAATAGAATTGATAAAAGACACTTTCTGGGCCAAGCGCTGCGGCTATGACAGGCTAGCCTAGCGCACGTAATTTCCTTGGGCTTCTACCACCCTAATATTCTATTTCTAGATTTTCCTTGGCGTGCCTTCCCCCAGCCACTGATAATCGGGGAGTATTCTGTAGACGGTAAGAAAGATAAATCATATTTTTTTTTTAAATAATCTTCTAAAACTAGAAATCCAGTGGGCTTTCACACCTCTTCCTTAAATAATTATTTAAGCTTTTCGATATATATATTAGTCAATCCTTACAATTTACATCTTAGAGTTTATTATCTTACCGAGTTCCAAAATCAAAATTTGAGGCGAATTGGTCAAGGGGGTTCATGAGCTAGGATCGGACATAAAAAGTCCAGTGCTTAGGATCCATTTAATTTTGATGCGAATCCGTATCCGGATCCTGGAGCCGCACTGTAAAAAAAATCCGGATCCGGATACAGGTTATTTTTAAAAAATTTATATATAAAAATCAGGAAATTTTTATAATCTCTCTTTTTTCAAAGGATTTGTGTTTTAAGAAAATTTTTTTTTTTTTGCAGTTTTTGGTTGATATTTTGCTCCTAAGATCCGGATCCGTGGATCAGCATATTTTTGCGGATCCGAATCCAGGAAGCCAAATTCTTGCGGATCCAAAGCACTGATACTAACAAACAAAAAAAGCAAACAGAGATTACTGCTTTATATATATAGCCTTGGAACCCAGCTTCGCCTGCATACTAAACTTTCCCTATTAAAGTCAATCCGCTGAATTTAGAATTTTTTAACCAAACTCTTACCAAGTTCCCCAATCATGAGTTATAATCGAACATTTAAACAAACAGAGATTACTACTTTATATATTTAGATATATTGACCAATTGGACTTTAAACAAAAGAAAGTAACGTTTTTTATTTTATTAACACTTTGTTAAGGTGCCCGAGAAGTGGTTTTTGACCGAAGTCAGTTGCAGATATTTAAACCAGTTTCTGCACAGAGAGTCAGGTTCGAATATCTTAATGGAATTATATGTTTTTGACCTCCCCCACTCTTTACATTTGTTTAATTTTTCCCCAGTATTTTTGTAGGTTTAAACTTGAAAGGAAATAATTTTTGTAGATGTCTAACTTTTTTCCCTGAACAAACTTTCGAAAATTATTTATTTGAAATATTAACCCCTGTATTCAGAGATCCATTAATTACATTTTGATGCGGATCCGGATCCTAAAACTGCACTGGAAAAAATGGATCCGGATCAAAATCCGAATCCAGGTTATTTAAGATTTACTGATTTGTTAAAACAAAAAATGAATTATTTAAAATAATTTTCATCTTGTTTTCGCTTAATGTTATTTGATGAACCATTCAGAGATAAGGTTTTTGATAGTTTTAACTTTTTTTAACAGTTCAGATTTGGAGTTTGAGCCATAAAATTTTTTTTTTTCGGTATTTGGTAGATTTTTTGCCCCTTGGATCCCGATGTGTGGATCCACATATTTTTGCGGATCCGGATCAAGGAAGCCAAAATGTTGCGGATCCGACGGATCCGGATCACTGCCTGTAATAATTTATGAATTTTTTTCTCTCTGAACCTGAAAGGTTTTTGCTCGGGAAAAATATAATCTTAAACACTTTTTGGTGATCGCAAGGTGTCCGTGGTGTCTTAATATCTTAATAGAAGAAATATAAAATAGAAATAGAAGAAAATAATTAACATTTTCATTTTTGGCTTCAGATTGTTTTGTGTCATGAAATATTGAAATAAGTAAAATGAAAAAAGCAATTATTTTTTGTTGTTGCTAGGTTTAATCTGAATGATGGTCTGCGTGAAAGAGTACCAAGTAAGTTTATGCAAAATACATTTATGTATATTTAATTGCATGTTTCTTATTTCCCTTAGAGTAGTAAGCTTACTATTATAAGCTATCCCAAGATCAGCACGTATTTACTTTAAAATCAACAAAGTGGATTTTCAATTTATGTACTTCTTTTGAAGTTCAAGACTTCTTTTATAGTACTTCTTTTAAAGTTAAGTACTTCTTTTAAAGTTTAATACTTCTTTTAAAGTTTAATACTTCTTTTAAAGTTTAGTACTTCTTTTAAAGTTTAGTACTTCTTTTAAAGTTTAGTACTTCTTTTAAAGTTAAGTACTTCTTTTAAAGTTAAGTACTTCTTTTAAAGTTTAATACTTTTTTTAAAGTTCAGTACTTCTTTTAAAGTTTAATACTTCTTTTAAAGTTTAGTACTACTTTTAAAGTTTAATACTTCTTTTAAAGTTTAGTACTACTTTTAAAGTTTAATACTTCTTTTGAAGTTTAGTACTACTTTTAAAGTTAAATACCCCATTTAAAGTTAAATTTTCCTTTAAATGTTAAATTTTTCTTTTAAAGTATCATTTTCAAAAGTTTAATTCTCTAAGGACCTCCACAAGCCAATTTAGTATTGTTGGTTTCAATTCTAAATTATATCTGGTGTTGTATCATCCAAGGGCTCACCAGGACATCAAAAATTCGACCCACCTAGTTAGTTGACATGTCCTTGTCTTGGGCTTGTTGAACTAGGATATGTAACTTTTACCAAAAAAAAATCTTAAAGGGACTGTAAGCGTAATTTCATGTGACCTTCTATGCAAAGATGGCAATGTCCGATATCCAAGGGTACTATTAAACCCTTAGTCTGTTCGTGAGTTCTGAGATGTGTGTGTGTGCATTGTAAACGGTGCGTAACCCACTTGTATTCAGCTCATACAAGCATGTTAGAATCAAGGATATAATGCAAGGAAAGTTGTTTCATAGGTGTACGCATCTTTTGTACAACAGTGTACTGTCTCTTGGCGGTAATGTAAACACAAGACGGATGGGATCCATTTTTCACATAAAAAAATCAATGAACTATTCTATTGTTATGAAACTATTATGTGAATTATCGGGCATCGCATGGTCCTCTCTGCATGTAACGATCACTTAAAATTACGCTTACAGGCTACATATAGGCCCTTAATATCTAATGTCAGCTAGACTTTAAACCAGTTACATCTAAGCTTAAACCTGTCGACAGGTTTTAGTCCCGATGATACAGCATCAGTCATTAATCGAGAAAAAAAAATTTAAATTTTATCATCTCACAATTTCCATTTTCTATTTAATTTTTTAAGAAATGGAAAAGTTTGAGGGATTGGATAATATGTTGAAATGGATTCTTCACACCAGGACCAATTATTTTACATTTTTTCCTTAGTAAGAAAAACCATTTATAAAGATTATAAAGATTATAAAGATTATAAAGATTATAAAGATTATAAAGATTATAAAGATTATAAAGATTATAAAGATTATAAAGATTATAAAGATTATAAAGATTATAAAGATTATAAAGATTATAAAGATTATAAAGATTATAAAGATTATAAAGATTATAAAGATTATAAAGATTATAAAGATTATAAAGATTATAAAGATTATAAAGATTATAAAGATTATAAAGATTATAAAGATTATAAAGATTATAAAGATTATAAAGATTATAAAGATTATAAAGATTATAAAGATTATAAANCTCCCTAGATATTCAGTTTGTTAAAGTTTTTTTTTCAGCTAAACTTGGAGGTAATTAATGTTTTGGTTAAGAAGTATGAAAAAGGATGGAAAACTGTGCAAATAATGCAATAACAAATAAATCCAAAGAGCATTGAAAATCGTTATCTAAGTTTCAAACATTGAAACAAGAACTTTCTCTAGTCCTGTCTGTTTAATCTGTGCAAGAACGAGAAAGGTTTTCTTTGTAAAAAATAATGAAAAATGTAAGCAGGCAACAGACGAAGGAAGATCTGAAATCAGATTTTGTATGTTACAGAGGTGCTCTAAGTACTCTCATGAAAACTCCATATGAACAGGAACATTTCATATTTTGTTAAGTTGTAAAATGTTTTTATCATGGTGGTATTACAAACCCTGGAAATACTAACAGTTGAAACACAAGCTCAGGAGAGTATTTACACCTTACTTCTACAGTAATAAACAAAAAACTATAGAATAGGAGGACGACATTAAATACTGAAGTTCATTTGTTATGGTTACAAAGTAAATAGCTTAACTAGTAAGTTATAAAATCACTTATTAAGTTATATGGGTCTCTTTACATCGCACATTGCACAATTTCTGTGCCTCATGTTCATTGGAATATTTGAATTTCTAACTTGAGTTTAAAAGACGGCTTTCTATTCCAGAGTTTTCTGGTTATCGCTGTATGTTACACCAGCTGAGGCGCCGCAGACTGCAAGAGGCCGAGTGTTGAGGCTACGATAGTCTGGGGGGGGGACGAGTGTTCCGGCTAGAATATGCGGGGGGGGGAGCTCTGTAGGTTTTGTCTTCTCATTAGTTTGTATTTTCGGTTTTTTTTTCATAAGTAAATTAGTGCTTAAACTAGTTTGAGCTGGTTTCCAATTAAAACAGCTCATAGTTCTGCTAAATTCAGTTTAAAATATTAAAGAATAAAGATAATAGTAGGACATGACGTTCCAAGTTTCGTTTTTTAATATATAAAGCATCCAAGAGACAATTTTGAGACATAATCCCATCATACATTAAATGATATTCATCACATCAACATCACATCTAGTTGTTGCACATTTATTATATCATTTCATATAATGTAATGTTTTGACAGGAAGAGGGCTGGATAATTAAAGTTGTCAAGTTCAATGGAACAGTTTATATGATGCAGGTATTTCAGTACATTGAGAGGGAAATGGGAATGTCTGAAATTTTAAACAGAAAGAATAAGTGGTTATTCTTGTGGAGTGAAATATATACCCCTGTGGGAAATATAAAAAGATGACTTTATACAGGTTGATACAGAGGAGCAGAGTGGGAGAAGGATGCAGCAACAGGAATCGGAGAGGGATCAGAAGTTCACAGCCTGGGGGTACAAGTTTGAACAGTTCATGAGTGTTCAGGTAATAGTTCATGATTTTTTTTTTAATTGCCAGGACTAAGATTGGAAAGTATTCCTTCTTGATCAAAGCTGAGATGGATGGATACAAGGCCAAGGAAGGGTTACATGTTTTCTCAAAAATCGGGGTTTTTTTTCAAAATCTTTGAAATTGTTTCTGTCCCCCACCCCTCTCACACACAAACATAATTTGGAGAAAAAATACTAAGGATTCCCCCAGAACTAAATGAATTTTTTTATGAAAAGTCTAAATTTTCTTCTTTTTTCTAAGAGTATCGAATATCCCTACAAACACACCTCCCCCCACCCCTGTGTACCTCTGGGCTTAGGATAAAGAATCCTTGAGCAATAAAGACCTTGATTCAAACCGGTTTGTCGAATACAAAACAAGCAGGAAAGTGGATCGTAAAGGCCAGGAGAATTTTTTGAGAAGATCAAAAATGAAGAGCTGGTGGACCCAAAGCTTCATAGGTAAGTGTTATTTTTGTTAAGATTTTTTAGTTTTGTAAGATTTTTAGTTTTTGTCAGATTGTTGAATTTTTGTTTTTAGTTTTTAGTTTAGTTTTTAGTTTTTGTCAGATTTTTAGTTTTTGTCAGATTTTTGAATTTTTGTTTTTAGTTTTTTGTTTTTAGTTTTTAGTTTAGTTTTTAGTTTTTGTCAGATTTTTAGTTTTTTGTCAGATTTTTGAATTTTTGTCAAATTTTTTTATTTTTTCAGATATTTTTACTTTTTGTCAGATTTTTTACTTTTTGTCAGATTTTTTACTTCTTGTCAGATTTTTTAGTTTTTGTCAGATTTTTGAATTTTTGTCAGATTTTTAGGTTTTGTCAGTTTTTTTAGTTTTTGTTTGATTTTTTAGTTTTTGTCTTCTCTTGAATTCTATGTTTATGTCCATGCTGTTTAACAGCTTGATCAAAATTAAAATTGAAATCGAAAGTCGTCTTTATTATATTGGTTTAATCACCTACCACCGTGTTTGTTGAGCACAAATATTATTCATATTATTTTTATTTTATCTTTATTTTGTCTAGTCGGAATAAAGGAGGTGGTGGTAGGATGGCGGGATGATGCTGGTATAATAGAACACGTGGAAACTATCCCTGTCTCCTCTCTACCACAGAGTGGTATGGATTGGAAACCGAATGTCTGTGCAAACTTCCTCTTGTTGTTTACCTCCTTCGTTCAGAAGGATCTTCTTCGGGATTCAGAAGACCAGGTTATTTTAGTTTCTCATTCTTCAGAGCTGTAAACTTTAGAATCTGATACCCTTTACACTGATCGCTTAATCTGCTCTTTTTCACTCATTTAGGATATCAATACTGGATTCTAACCAAGTAGAGTTCTTTCATTAAAATTAAATGGCCCGCAAAGTTTCAAATTTCCTGCATATTGGTTGAAATTTAGAAACTAAATATTAAAATAATTTTACTATTACCAAAGAGAAGAGATCAAGCATTGCTCTCGATATCCACTATTCTAAAGTTTTCAGCTCTGATGCATTAGTATTTACATTTTTGGGTTGTCACTAAAAAAACGATCCATTTTTCCGTTTTAATTTTACTCGAGGTTGTTCATAAGTTCAGGAAATTATAGGAAAACTAAACAGTCACCAGTCAAACTTTTGAACCTTTGAGTGCAGAAAGCGCCGATTTTTGCGTGAAAATGTACCTGATATTTAGCGAGAAATACTGAAATTGTCTCGCATCTTCTCAGGGATTTATTTATCGCTTTTAAACCATTTCAAAATAAGCACTTCTGATTTTAATCGATGCACTTTTAACCTTTATCTAAGTAAAATAAGGAGAATATAGTTACTTTTTATTTTAAAAATATGTTGAATTTTGTTTATTTCCTGAATGGTTTCCGCAGCATAAATCTGCAAGTCCCTGATTTACAACCAAAATTGGAAATAGTTAATTTCAGCAAGATAATTATTAATATCTGGTTTAAATGGTTCCGTTTTGAGCTGGAAATTTGAGCTGGAAATTTGTGTTGGATTTTCAAAATCCCGATCACTTGACGTCGATATCCACTTTTGGCACTTTAAATTTGAGGATCTGTAAAAAATCCCACCTCTATATCTTCATTTAATTTATTCCTCCCCTGATCAAAGCTCCCTTTAACCCCTCTGACTGGGATTACTATGTGGGATATCGAATAAAGATTTAATCAATCTGCAGAATAACAAAAGTCGAGATTAATCAATGATCTCGATATCCACCGATATCGTAAACACATTTCATGACTTGGAGCGTCGACTCTTATTTTATCTAAAGATGATTTGTCTTCTGATAATAATAGTAATTAATTAATTACTCAGGTGTATAATGTGAACTGGGATCCCAGGAATGGATTCAGAGTTGAGAAAGATTCTGATCAGTTTCTCCCATCCTGGTTCCTAGCAGAGTTCAAATAGGACTAGGAGAACAGATTCTCCCATCCTGGTTCCTTGGATAGTTCAAATAGGACTAGGAGAACAGATTCTCCCATCCTGGCTCCTTGGATAGTTCAAATAGGACTAGGAGAACAGTTTCTCTCATTCTGGTTCCTTGCAGAGTTCAAAGAGGACTAGGAGATCGTGATTTATAATCAAGCATTATTTTTAATCTAATGCACATTATTAATCAAAGATCTTATATACTCATTTTTTTATTTATGCATGAAAATTTTTTCCTGATTATTTGAATAAACCACATTTTCCGTGAATAGAATTAAGTGGTTGTCTGCATAAAGAGGATATTTCTTGACCTTTGTATTTTTTCAATGTAAATTTTGTATTTTGATATTACTTAATGTGCCTTATGCCTTATATTTGTATATTTTCAGATAACTGTTCTCAAAAATGCAGTTTCCATCCTGGAAACCTCATGATTTGGATAAAGGTAAAAAATGAAAAATTCTGACAAATAAGAAGAAAAAAAATTTCTTTTTTTTTCAGATTTTCCTCAGTTTGCCCAGCCAGTAATTGTGGGGGAATTTTCTGTGAATGGTACGAAGATAATTATCTCGATGAAGTAAAAAATGTGAAAATTAGACATTTTCTCTATCATTGTATTGGCAATGAGTTGCACACTTAGAGAACGATTTCTGTAACACCGCCCCCCCCTCCCCCCTTCTATCAATTTTGTATATGATATCTAATAATCAGCAAAATTATTGTTATTTATTTGTATTATTTTATGGTTAGGTTAGGTTAAGGCAATTTCTGGGCCGAGCGATGCGTTTAGGACAGGCTAGGGGGCCGAGCGCTGCGACCAGAAAAGGCTTGGGGGCCAAACGCTGCGGATAGGACAGGCGAGGGGACCGGGGGCTGCGGCCACATGACCAATTATATCTATGTGGTACAAAATTGATAGGGGGTCAAGAAATCGTTCACTAGAAAATTACCAAGACTTTCTTGTGATTTCATCCATGGCGTCGGCCATTTTCAAAGTAATGAGACATTTAAATTTCTTTAAAAAACTACCAGCTATTGCCTACTCAACAATGTAAATATTGGTCAAATTTAATAATACTAGGCTTTTAGGGCGCTTCTTCTATTTAAATTTTGAACATGTTCTTTTTGTTTAAATTTTAAAACAAAGAAGAAAAAAATTTTGCGGATTTTTAAAAAAAGTCGCGGATTTTCAACAATTTGAATTTTTTTACAAAATTAAAAACCTTTAAAACACATTTTTAAAAAAATGTTATCATTCATAAACCTTCCCTGTGGTCACGTGATGTCCCACAAAAAATTTGGGCCCGATCGGTTCAGCCTTTTTGACGTTTATTGGATACAAACAAACAAACAAACAAACAGACAGACAAGCCAAATTTATATATAGATTTCTTAAATTCATAAATTATTTGCAGTTGTCTATTTTCTTGTCACCTAGACCTACCTCATATTTTGATTGAGGAACTCAGTGCAGCCACGAAAATGTTCTTAGTTTGGTTTTAAAATGTCTAAGTTGAGTGGGTTGTCTTTTATAGGAAAAGAGCAAGTTTTCAGTCAAAGCTGGGTTCCCAAGCTAGTACATATAAAATACACTTGCCTGGGAACCCAGCTTTGCCCGAAATTCTTATCTCTCCTAGAAACGTTAAGTTAATAAAATCAGAACTTGTAAACCAACGAATTCCCTGATCAAAATTTGAGGCAAATCGGTTGGTTCCTGAGTTGTGTATACAAACAGAACAAAGATACAAACAGAGACAACACATTATTATAGAAGATACATATTATATATATACATATTATGATGATATAAACAGTTCTATGTAGGGTTGCGGGATATCTGTCCTGACCGGAGCCAGCTCCAGGTATACAAACCAGTACCACACAACACCCAGAGAATTAGGTTAATAATTTTATATTTTATTCATTATTAAATCATGGCCGAATTTAAAGAATTTGTGCTGCTTCTCAAATTTGAGACGCGGCTCAAACATGGTTGGTTCCACTTGAAATTGTGTTCAGTGTTTCGATATTCGGTGCTCAATTGGAATAGGTTTTTGTGGATAAGCGACGCGGTTTAAATTCTTTATATCCGGCCTCAGAATTAGAAACCACATAGCAGTCAGAGAGTTCGGTTAATCATTTTATATCTTTTTATCAATCAATCATTGATCCAGCCTTAGAAGTAAAAGGGACTGTAGTTGTGATTTTAAGTGACCCTCCATTTAAAGAGGGGAACGCCTGATTGACAAGGGTGGTATCTTGAAACTTGGAAATATGATCAATAGTGTTGAAGATACAAGTCTACAAGTATTTGACTTTGATAATTTCTGCTTTTGAAGAATACACAAATAAAAATAATCAGTTCTCAACAACAAAATCAATGATATCTAATTCATGCTGGATTTGATTTGAATTTAAGGGTATCGTTGTAAATCGAACACACCGCTCTATCAATAAAAGGTTACTTAAAATTACGTTTATAATCCCTTTAAGGCAAATTAAACTTGAAAGTATGAGATTAATTAAAAATGGAAAACTTTATCAAAACTTTCCGATTTAAAGGGGTTTAAATGAGAATTCAGCTAATATTTGTCAGGTTTGATCTGAATGCGGGATTGAATGACAGAACACAAAGTAAGATTATTTTTCGATTTATTTTGTTGATTGTTTGATCTTTTTTCTATTTTCTTTTAAGAATGAGGAAAACATACTTCCATACATCTTTAATTCATACTTTTTAAGTCTTCTTTTTAATTTAGTGAGTCTTACTTTTTCAATTTAATTCAATTTAATTTAATTTTAATTTAAGAAATAAGTGAGCATGGAAGGTTAATGGACTTAAAAAATTGACAACTTCTGCCTTAAAGAAAATTCCATTACTACGGTTTTGAAAAATCTACCAATTTAAACAGAAAAATCCAGAGAAAAACTTGTTTATTGGAATACGATGAAAAATGGCTGATTGAAGATCTAGAAAAAGACCGAGGCCTTGTTTGTTTGAAATATTTGAATTTATATGTGGTGTAGAGTATACCATGCACTGAGATGGAATTTAAAGAATTTGAGCCGCGGTTTAAATCCGCCAAAACCGGTTTAAATTAAGTGCCGGATTAAATCTTGAAACATTTGATACAATTTTAAGTGGAACCAACCATATTTAAACCGCGGCTTAAATTTAAACAGCCGGTCAAATTCTTTAAATTCGGCCACTGTATGCTTATTTATTTATCAATTGTCTAAATTCATAAATACTCTTTTCAATAGCAATATTTTTGTGGATTAGGAATTCAGCAGTTTGAAGGACTGGACAATATGTTGAAATGGATTCTCCTACAAAGGCATCTTTTTTATCTATGATTTGACATAATTTTCATTTTATACATAGGTATCTTTGATTTGACATAATTTTCATTTTAGATTCAACTTAAAATAGATAAAGTAGATTTGAAATCTGATTTTTTTCTTTTTATTAGAGACTGTATGCGTAATTTCAAGTGACCCTACTGTTATAGAGTGGTATGGCTGATTTACAACAGTACCCTTTGAATCTATAACTGATCAAGAATTAGAGGCTTAGAGTTCCATGATTAGGTAGCGTACACCGATTTTTACAGAAATTCATCCATTATTTGGGAAATTTACACATGAAGCTCTTTATTTTCATTTTTCGCTTATCAGTCAAAGGTTTAAAGGGTACCGTTGTAAATCGGGCATTGACCTCTTTGCACGGAGCATCACCTGAAATTACGCGTACAGTCCCTTTATAAAAAACATTAGTTGTGCATGAGGATTTGATAGAATAGATGATTTGTTAGAAAAGAGTCAAGAGAAACTAAACAAGAGATTAACTCAAACTTTATCTGCTACAGAGGAGTTCTTCGTCTTATTATGAACACACCTTACGAACAGGAACAGGAACATGAACATGAACATGAACATGAACATGAACATGAACATGAACATGAACATGAACATGAACATGAACAATAAACATGAACAATAAACAATCAACGATCAACATGAATATTTGTATGCGAAATTTTGTTTCTTTCGATGGTAAACTTATTTAAAAAACTACTGGATATTCTGATTTTGTAGTTTTTTTTATTAATAATTTCATGTTCTGTTAGAGAGAAGGCTGGATAATCAAAGTTGTCAGGTTCAAGGGAACTGTTTATATGATGCAGGTATCTTTAGCAGGATTATTTTGTCCCCCCCCCCCCAATGTTAAACATGATTTTTTATGGTGTAAAAAGTATCAGAATAGATGAACAAAATTTTCGTCTAATATCCAATTTTTCTTTTTTTTCAGAGATTTTAACATCAAAGAGGGGGGTGTTATTCTCTAAAATATATACCCCGTTTAAACGCCTGACAAAAATGAGAACTCAATTTCCACTCTGTTTTTTTACATGGTGTCCCACGTAACATGTCAGTAACAAGACGAATTGAAGGTCGTTTTTGATCTTTGAAAATCTTTGGCATTTATTCGTAAACCTAATTTTAGAAGTAAAATTCTAGAGCTAATAATCACAAATACTCTTTGTCTTGGTATTTTCAAAATGTGGTCTGCATTTTTTGTGTTTGTGGAGATATAAAGAATTTCGTTCAGATTTCGACAATTTTGGTTGTGTTTAAAAAAAATTGAAATCTGAACTAAATTCTAAATATTTCCAGTAATATTGACAACATAGAAAAGGCAGACCTTATTTTGGAAATGTTTCAAGAATCATTTATGTTAAAGTAGGTTGACGACTGAATGTCACAAATAAATTCAAAGTTCCAAGACGACATTCAAGTCGTTTCTCTACTGTCATGTTTTCTTTCAAGAAAATTATTTTTTGTCAAAAGTTTTTTTTTACTTTTAAAATGAATTTATTTTTATGGAATTTTTCAGATTTAGTTGATTCTTCCAATAATTGATTAGTGTTTTTTGTTAAGATTGATACGGAAGAACAAAAAGAAAAGAAAAAATGGACTACGGAGAAAGAAAAGACATTTTGTGCCTGGGGTTATAAGTTTGAACAGTATATGAGTGTACAGGTACCAGATAACCAGATAACCAGATAACCAGATTACCAGATTACCAGATAACCAGATAACCAGATTAAAACCATAATGAAAATATAATTGAAAGTAATCTCTGTTTGTATTTCTGATCATATGAACCCCTTGTACGATTTGCTATAAATTTAGATGGGGTGATCACTACCCAGGCAGAACCACGGGAATGTTTTTTGCTTGGTGGTGTAACCACTAACCAGGTAGAACCACGGGAATATTCTTTGCTTGGTGGGGTAACCACTAACCAGGTAGAACCACGGGAATGTTCTTTGCTTGGTGGGTTAGCTCGATAGAACCACGGGAATGTTCTTTGCTTGGTGGGTTAACTCGATAGAACCACGGTAGTAATCTTTGCTTGGTGGGTTAACTCGGTAGAACCACGGGAATATTCTTTGCTTGGTGGGTTAACTCGGTAGAACCACGGGAATATTCTTTGCTTGATGGGGTAACTCGGTAGAACCACGGGAATATTCTTTGCTTGGTGGGTTAACTCGGTAGAACCACGGGAATATTCTTTGCTTGATGGGGTAACTCGGTAGAACCACGGTAATAGTCTTTGCTTGGTGGGGTAACTCGGTAGAACCACGGGAATATTCTTTTCTTGGTGGGTTAACTCGGTAGAACTACTGGAATATTCTTTGCTTGATGGGGTAACTCGGTAGAATCACGGGAATATTCTTTGCTTGGTGGGTTAACTCGGTAGAACCACGAGAATATTCTTTTCTTGGTGGGTTAACTCGGTAGAACCACGGTAATATTCTTGGCTTGGTGGGTTAACTCGGTAGAACCACGGGAATATTCTTTGCTTGGTGGGTTAACTCGGTAGAACCACGGGAATATTCTTTGCTTGATGGGGTAACTCGGTAGAACCACGGTAATATTCTTTGCTTGGTGGGGTAACTCGGTAGAACCACGGTAATATTCTTTGCTTAATGGGTTAACTCGGTAAAACCACGGGAATATTCTTTGCTTGGTGGGTTAACTCGGTAGAACCACGGGAATATTCTTTTCTTGGTGGGTTAACTCGGTAGAACTACTGGAATATTCTTTGCTTGGTGGGTTAACTCGGTAGAATCACGGGAACATTATTTGCTTCGTGGGTTAACTCGGTAGAACCACGGGAATATTCTTTTCTTGGTGGGTTAACTCGGTAGAATCACGGGAATATTCTTTGCTTGGTGGGTTAACTCGGTAGAACCACGGGAATATTCTTTTCTTGGTGGGTTAACTCGGTAGGACCACTGGAATATTCTTTGCTTGATGGGGTAACTCGGTAGAACCACGGTAATATTCTTTGCTTGGTGGGTTAACACGGTAGAACCACGAGAATATTCTTTTCTTGGTGGGTTAACTCGGTAGAACCACTGGAATATTCTCTTCTTGGTGGGTTAACTCGGTAGAATCACGGGAATATTTTTTGCTTGGTATAAAAATTCTAACCGGTGGAGGTTGAACTTTAATTGAGAAAGATTTGGTTTTCTGGCAAAGCTGGGTTTCCTAGTTAGTATATATAGTTATATTCAAACATTTATTTTTTAGGAAAAATCTGCGGTTGTAAATGAAAATGAAGAGTTTTGTTGTATGTTTAGGTAAAAAAATTTTTTTTTTTTAATAGATTACTGTTCTGATTACATTTGTGTGAGATTTCTTAAAATTTCATCGCAATATTGATGGAAAAGGTTTTGTATTAGACTATTTGGCCAAAAAGTTGAGTAAAAACCTTTATTTTAATAGAATGAGTGTTACTCGCGGAACAAAAAGTCAATTTTTTTTCGGTCAAATCGGTTTTACGGACAAACTGATTCTGTCCATTCAAAAGTTTTCATATAAGGAGAACAATTTTATAATTTTTAGATCGAAGATTGGGAAATATTCCTTCTTGTTTGGAGCAGAGATGGACGGATATAAGGCTCAGGATAAACAATCCATTGGTAAACTGGTTCCAAACCGGTTTGTTGAATTCAAAACAAGTCGGAGAGTGGAGAATGAAAGACAGGATAGAACTTTAAGAAAGTTTAAGATGATAAAATGGTGGGCTCAATGTTTTCTAGGTAATTTGAGAAAACACTAGTATAAAGTGGGATGAATTATGAAAGTCGTCTTAGTTTAAGCTTTAAATTTGAAGTCAAGGTAGCTCTAGATTTTCTAATATGTGACGGATATATATTTCTTATTAAATGATTTAGGGCACAATTTCAAGATTTTACGAGTTTAACAAATCACAATTTATTGCAAAGTTTCTAGTTTACAAAGAGGACTTTCATATGCTAGTTACATGGCTGTTTCAAGAGTATTTTTTTTTTGATAGTTCGCCTCGCCCTCCATGATACTGGCATGTTAATGTTCAAGCTATTTGAAATTTTTAGAAAGTCCTTGCTTAATGTTTTAAAATTTTTGCGGTTATGACCTGACCAATGATCTGTTGCTGCTGACACATCTTTATATATAAAGTAGTAATCTTAAATTGTTTGTTTGTATGTCCGATCATAACTCATGAACGCCTATAAAGAAAACTTTGTTTCCAGGCAAATCTGGGTTCTTAAGCTGGTATTAATATAAAAATATAATGAATCGAAATCATAAGTTCTAAAGTTTCAGTTCAACTGTTGAGTTAAAGTCTATTTACAGAAACATTAAAGCTGACTTAATTCTGATTCGAAAGTTCACTGCTATGGTCAGATCAGAAAAACAATCTGATTCTGATTTAAATCTGTATCCTACGTTTTTCATTTAATCTTTATCTAGTTGGTATTGAGGAGGTGGTTGTTGGTTGGAGAGACGATGCTGGTATAGTAGAACAAGTAGAAACTCTCCCTGTCTCCTCTCTACCTAAGCGTGGTATGGAGTGGAGAGCGAATGTGTGTGCTAACTTCCTCCTAGAGTTCATCACGTTCATTCAACAGAATTTACTCCGTGATTCTTCCGACCAGGTTTATTATTTTACGTTCTTTTTTAATTTGTTCGAATGATGATCAGATTACCTGCAATATTTATTAAGTTTGGAGCAAGATTTAAGATTTTCATTTCCTATTTTGACTTTTCTTAGACAATTGTCAGGCGAAATATTTAAATAGTATCTTGAATTTTCCCTCCAATCTCTAATGAAAGATTTTTCAGGTGTATAATGTGAGTTGGGATCCAAGGAGTGGGTTCAAGGTTCAACAAGATTCAGAGCAATTTTTCCCACCTTGGTTCCTAGCAGAGTTCAAATAGGACTAGGAGAACAGTTTCTCCCATCCTGGTTCCTAGCAGAGTTCAAATAGAACTAGGAGAACAGTTTCTCCCATCCTGGTTTCTAGCAGAGTTCAAATAGGACTAGGAGAACAGTTTCTCCCATCCTGGTTTCTAGCAGAGTTCAAATAGGACTAGGAGAACAGAGTTCTGAATTTTGATCAACTACGAGTAGGACTAGAAGATGTACCTGAAAGAACCTTTTTTTACATTTTGTAACTTTTTTTTTAATACAGGACTGAGAGATATTTAACTTTCTTAATGCCTCAGACAAAATATTATATTAAATTCCCATATGAAACCTATTTCATACGCTGTTCGAATAAATGTATTTTGTAAATTATGGTTTGGTATGACCACGTTAGGCAATGGATATGAGTTCCTCCTCTTTGTAAATTCCACCCCTTGGGTGGTTCCACGTTCATGTTTTATACCTTTGGTAAGTTCCATCCTCTTGTTTAGTTTCGACTCTTGGTTGGTTCCATTCTCTTGATTGATTCTGAATCTCATCATTTTCTCTTGATCTACTCTGCCCTTTGTTACCTCGTAATCGTATGTAACGTAATATTTCATGAGAGTTACATTATTAAAGTTCTTGGCCTCGGTATATTAGAGGATATCTCAATTATCTGATAGGATAAATTTGCTGGATAAATGGGCAATTTTACCCAACAAATGGCCTCATGCTTTCATAAAGGAAAATTTTAAGAGACTATAAAAATATGACAATTTGAAGTTAGTTTTGTGGTTTCTGCGTCAATGAATATGTTGATGGTTTATTAAATGATTAAGCACAGAAATAAGCCAGCTTTGGCCTATCAAGGAACCATGAATGCAAGAAAAAGGACTAAACAAATTACAATAAGAGTTGTATATTGTAACTTTCTGAATTTGTATGGGCGCTACGTTCTTCAGTTTAAGTCGTTTTTAACAATTTTTTCCTTATAGACGCAACAGACAGAAGTAAGATTAGTAGCGATCAAAAGCGATTATTTTTCGCCGTAAGTCTATACCCCCTTTAATTTTTCGCGAACATTCCCTTTAAGTTTAAATCAAATTTAAAAGTTCTTTTACAATTCGAAGGTTGAAAATTTTGTGTTGAGTAAAATTTGTAACGCAGGATCTCGATATATTGATATAACTCGATAAAGTCATCCATACAGGGTATGGCCAACACTGGATAGTGAACATGAATTAGATCAATATCTTGAGCTGGGTCTGCATGAATGCAAAAATCAACCTTTCATGCAGGACCATTAAACTAAATATCTTTAAAATCAGATTTTTTACCAGAAATACATGTTCATATGGTTCTCGGTAAATATGGTCAATCCTTCAGAACAAAACACTTTTAAAGTTAGAAAAGGGAGGATATTTTTTACAATATTGATCCCTGAAGAATACAGGGTAGTGTAAATAGGTTCAGGTTTCTCTTCAAATGAAGATTACTTGAAATCACATTGATATTCCCTACAACCCTTTTCCTGATGAATTTGATGCAAAAGAGAAAATTCTAAGCTATAAAAACTGAATATCTCCATAAAATTTTCTTAAACGAAAAAAAAGGGTACTTCTACTGTTTTAAAATAAAGGGTTACTTGAAATTACGCCGATGTAGTCCCATGAAACATGATGATCTGAATAGGACACTTTTTCAAAGTATTTAAAACAAAGAAAGAGGTTTAATACAGATATATACTGGCAAGCTACTCCTTCATTCAACAATTATTTAACAACATCTGCCCTGTTTCATTTTGCAAATCTTAGACTAGATTTATTTTTACTTTCTTCAGGGGCTGAATTTAATGAATTTGAGTTAGGTAGCTGAACCACCAGTAAGTACTATTTGAATTTACAGGATACGTTTTCCTTAAAATGCACCTCTGATATTAGACTCCGTACTTATCGAGAAGGTACAAGCCCCGAGCTTTATCGAGAGACAAAATATAATTTGAAAAGGCGAGTGAACCTTCAAGATACAGAGAAAATTTCTGTCCAAAAACTTTATAGCACGTTGTGGCAAAATAATAGTGTTATAGGTAATTTTATGAAACGTTTGTGTACTTGTCTTATTTCAATGGCGATTTCTAATAAATTATTTATTTAATATTATCGAGAAATTACCAGGGAGAACTGCCAACTTTACCCGGAAATTTACTTTTTCAAATTTTTTCGGGATTTTTTTGATGAAATATCATCAGAAAATTCGATTGATAATATTAATATATATAAAGTAAAGGCTAACATTCATCTTGTAAATGCGTGAAATTTTCTCATGAAGATTTTCAATTCAACACTTTCTCTCTCTTGGGCGAACAAAAATATATTTACACGGTTCTGTGGGAGAAAAAGTAAAAAGTATTAGGATGAACAAGGTTAATAAGGATGCTCTGAATGGGATAAAATATTTTAGATAAAAATATCTGAGTATCTATAAACACAAATATTTCAAGTGATAATCATGGAAACAAAAGGTTTAAATGTATTTTGCTGGAATTCTTTCACTGACTTCAGATATGCAGATCTGCAGAACGATCAGGGATTTGCAGAGATAGTTGGCTTGTCACTCGATCCTGTACACCGGTCCAGTAGCGCCTGATCCAATCAGGGTTCAGTCATGTGTTTGATGTATATTCTTAACCAATAGAAATAGTTTGGCGGTAACATATATCTTTCTATCTATCTCATTATCCAATCAGAGTTATGAATCCTTATATCATTTGCCCGGAAGAGTCAAATGTGATGGTACGGAAGGGGAAATAGTGGTGGCTCATGGCTGCCGGAAGAGAAAAAAGCTAATATGTGGCACGGAAGGGGAAATAGTGGTGGCTCATGGCCGCCTGCCTTCCTCCGCTCATACAGCAACTTGTCCAGAGCCCGTGATTTAAAATCTTCGACTAGAGGCTTAATTCCTTAGATCCAGGGTTAAGGCTTAATCTTAGACCAAATCAGCTGACGACTGCAGCTTATGTCACGTGATCGACAGTTGTCAGCTCTTAGACATAAGTCCTAATAAAATAAAACATTATAAATCTTGCAGTGTAGAGGCTTAGCCCTGATACCCCTCCCCCTCATCTGTATACACCCCTGAATAGTTTGTCCCATCTGAGCTTTCTCCGTTATCCTGTCAAGCTTCTAAATATTTTGATATAAACTATAGAATTGTAGATTGTTTAGAGGCGGAAAATTACATTTCTCTTTGTTTACAAAGTTTACAATTGATTTCAAGCCGGTTGCAGGTTCAAATCCTGAAATCTTTTTTATTGAATATTTATTAAGGGGGGGGTGGAGGGTTATAATTTCTAAAATCCCAAACCTTTCACCTATAATTTCTTTGCCCCTGTGCACACTGGTAAAAATTAATCTGGGTCCGAAATTAATTAATTGGAGAGGTCGCTGAAGTACCTACAACCGGTTCAAACCCTGAATCACCGATTCAAATCCACATGCATCTTGAATTCTAAATTGGTGATTTAAGATTTGAATTTATTATATTCGGTCCCTGGAGAAAAATTGTGAATTGTAATTTTAAACTAATTATTATACGAGGCGTGATCAATAAGTTTCGCTAAAATTTTGTTAGGTGTACTTCTAGAAGTCTCAATTCTAAATATTGTTTTTAAAGATCATATTTTATATTTATATTTGAACCGGACAAACTTTTGGCCAGGTTGGTGTCAAGCAGATTGTTGTTGTGATGTAAGGAGTGTTCTCCTGAAGGTGGATTAGCTTCGTTGTCACAGCAGGAATATCTAGAATATTGAACTTTATAGAAAGTGGACACTCTGGAGGCTAGGTTACCAAAACATGTTCTGATTAGACGATGCAAAAACCAATCCGAACCTAAAAAAAGTTCCAGAATTAATTTAAAACTTTTATAAACTTTAATAGTGTTCAATGAGGTTAAGAAGCGAAAAATGAATATTTGACGGATTATAAAATGTCCGGACGGGAAAAGACCACTAAGACCAAAAAAAATTGTCGAAACTGTTGCTTAAATTGTTTAAACCATATTAGCAAGGGTTCAAGAAGTATGTTTGCCAGACAGCTTAATGTATGCTTTTACAGAGTAAACAAGGTTGTAAAGCAAGATTTAAAAATGATTAAGATCTGGGTTAAATTTGTCTCAAAGTCTCTGACATATGACCAAAGGGATGACATTGAATATGGATCTTTAATGTAAATAAAAAACAACAAATCCTCAAAAGTCCTTCATACATTAAATACGCAATCTCTGTTTTCTTTTGATCGCTCTTGATGGGTCTAAAATAGACTCTGATGGATTAAGTTTGAGACCATTCGGAACATTTTCTTGTTGTGACAAATGAAGCTGATTACTTTCGGGAGAACGCTCCTTACATTACAACAAAGATCTGATTGACATCAACTGATCTAAAAAATAATCCGGTATAAATATTTTTCAACTTGCAAAAAAAATTTATATGGATGAACACTGAAGTGGTAGAAGTTCTTAAGAAAAGACTATTTAATTAACAATTAAGATGAAATTTTGTGTGGTTTTTATTTAAAAAAAAAAATTTATGTTTAAATTCTTTACTGGGACTATATAGAGTATAGATAATGAATGATTTATATCTTTGGTAAAATTACGAATTGAAATACTAAATTTTTAACTTTATCAATTTATTTACTTTTAATTTTTTTTATGAAACAAATTATTTGAATAATATGCAAGTTACATATAAAAAAATCTTACCTATACTCAGATCTGCCCATATTTTTCTAGAAGTACCCGTAAAAGTTTATAGCGAAACTTATTATTCTCACCTCGTATAATGTTTTTTGACATAAAAACATTTTATTTAAGAAATTCAAATTTTAAAAAAATCAAAGCCTTGTTTATAAAAGCTTCTTTTTTATTTCTGGTTAGAAGTTTCCAAAATGGGTTACTATTTTCTAATGGTCATTTGTTCATTAAATAATGAAAAAATATAAAGAAAACTCCATCTTAAGAAGATATACAGATAGATAAATAGTTGAAGAAAATTATAGAATTGATATATTTCC